CGCTGCCGATGTGCAGGGCGGGGCTGTTGTTCTCGCGGACGCGCAGGGTGTAGGTGGTTTGGCTGAAGGCGGGGGCGTTGTCGTTGACGTCGGAGACCGTCACGGTTATGTTGTGCTGCGTTTTCAGCCTGGGGGTCCCCAAGTCGGTGACGGTGATGGTGATGTTGTACTCAGCTTGGCTTTCTCTGTCCAGTGGCTTTTCTGTAACTAGGGTGTAAAAGTTCTTGAATGTGGGTTTCAAGAGAAAGGGAAGATCGTTCTGGATGGAGCAAACCATCCTACCGTTGTCCCCGGAGTCTGGATCAGAAACACTGAAAACAGCAACTACAGTCTCTGGGGAGTTTTCTGGGGTTGTGCTTGAGAGCGTTGACATGGTCAGTTCGGGGGCGTTGTCATTCACATCCACAACTTCTATAGCTACAGTGCATTTTCCTGAAAGGCCCCCACCGTCTGTGCCTGCAATTTCCACGTTATAGTATCGAGTTGCCTCGAAATCCAATGCCTTTTTCAGATGAATTTCTCCTGTTATTTCGTCTACTACAAATGGTTGAATAACTTGATTGCCTTGGAATAGAGTGTAGCGTACATTCCCATATGTTCCTGCATCTAAATCTTGGGCAGAGACAACGACAACTAAGGAGTTTGGGGGGCTGTTCTCCGGGACCTGTACCTCATAGAGCGACTGTAAAAACGCAGGGGCATTATCATTGATGTCCACGACTTCAATACGGACTGCAGTGGTCCCGGACCTAGGTGGATCCCCACCATCCAGCGCCGTAAGGGTTAAACTGAGTTCAGACTGCTCCTCCCGGTCCAGCGATTTGTCCAGCATGAGCTCTGGGTATTTTCTGCCATCTCCGCGATTATGAGTGACAACATGAAAATGGGAGTTGGGGCTGATTGTGTAGTTCTGAACAGTGTTGCCACCTATGTCAAAGTCCTGAGCTATTTTCAAAGGAAATACAGTCCCAGGCTGAACGCTTTCTGGGATTTTGAGGAGCATTTCCTTGTCTAGGAACTCTGGGGAATGGTCATTTATATCTGTGAGCTGCAGATCAGCCTGAAAAAACTGCACCGGGTTTTCCAGTAATAACTGGAAGTACAGTATACAGGGATCTGTCACTCCGCACAGCACCTCCCGGTCTAGTTTTTCATATAGCAGCAAATTCCCGGTTTCTACATCCAGTTCCAAGAGCTGTTTGTTTCCTTTGTAATGGATTCGCGCGCCTCGAGTAGCTAGTTCCCCCACCCTGAGCCCCAGGTCCTTTGCCAGGTTGGCCACAAAGGAGCCACTTTCTGTTTCTTCTGGAATGGAATACCTAATTGAGTCAGAGCCAGCCTCCCACAAAAGCATCAATATAGCAAGAAAGAGAACTTGCCTTTTCTGTGGCGTTTTTGCTAGCGCTGTCTCCATTGTTCAGACCAAATTCATGTGGTGCAGTTTCTTCACCTCTGTATACGGTCGACCCAGATGATTTGGTTAAATAACCTTGAATTAGATCTTTCTGACTGACTCGTCCTAGAATGATGTCCTCTCTGAAGACATCTGCCCCTAGATCTTACCTAAAATACTTCCGTCTTTCAGGAAGCATTCATTATTCTGAGTCCCAGCTTAATGGCGTCCGGCAGTCACAGAGCTTTTCATTCATACTCCTAGCCTGCAGCGCCACCAGGCGTCCTTATTTACTATTGCATATAGTATTTGCCATTTCATTCCAAATTATAACTGTTGTCATACCAATGTCCTTTTAAGTCACAGAAGTGCGCCCGATCATTTCTCCAGTTCTTAAGTAGTGGAAGTTCTAAAGAAATATCTGTTGGGTTAACTTTCAGTAAAAGAACACTTTTCAGAACAAACTGAAATGATATATTAGTGTTCCTCATAAAATACATTTTGAGAAGAAACTTTCTCTTGTGGGTTTGATTATATTTAAGAAAGAAGTGATAACTGATGTTTACAAAAGTTTACAATTTTTAAAAAGTCACTATTTTGAAATATATATCAGAAAAGGGTACACATTCTAAGTGTACAACTCAATACATTTTCATGAAGTGAGCACACTTGTATAAGTAGAACCTAAATTAAAACTGTTACCAAAACCCTTGAAGCCCCCTTCTGTTTTTGTGTGCTCATTACCCTCCCTGCTAAATGTAAGCATGCTTCTGACTTCTATTATCATAGATTCGTTTCTTTTTTTTAACTTTTTTTTAACGTTTATTTTTGAGACAGAGAGAGACAGAGTATGAACGGGGGAGGGTCAGAGAGAGAGGGAGACACAGAATCGGAAACAGACTCCAGACTCTGAGCAGTCAGCACAGAGCCCGACACAGGGCTTGAACTCACGGACCACGAGATCATGACCTGAGCCGAAGTCATACGCTTAACCGACTGAGCCACCCAGGCACCCCTCTTTTTTTTTTTTTAACTTTTATACAAATGGACTTATGGAGTATTTCTCTTTTATGTTTGGCTTCTTTTACTCAACATTATGTTTGTAAAATTCATCTGTTACACACTATCCTAATTAATTTTATTCTCAGTGCTTTATATTATTCTATTGTATGACTGTACTACTATTTGTTTATTCTCCAATTGATTGGGTGCTCCAGTTTGAGGGTATTTTGGATAGTGCTGCTATGAACATTCTTGAACATGTCTTTTAGTGTCTATGGGAGCATTTATGTTGAATATATTCCTACGAGTTAGACTTCTGTGTTATAAGACATGAATATATATTTAGCTTTAACAGATATTGCAAAAGTTTACAAATGTGGTTCCACGAAAACCAGCAAAGAATGACAGTTCCAGTTGTTCCATGTCCTTGTCAACACTTGATATTGTCTTTTAATTTTAACCACTCTGATGAGTGTGTAGTGATATCATATTGTAACTTTAGCAATTCCTTGATTAATTAAACTGAGCAGTTTTTTCACAAGTTTAATGGCTATTAGGACACATTCTTGTGAAGTGCTTGTCTTTGGTCTATCTATTTAGGGCATTTGCCTTTTTTTCTTATCAATCTTTAGAAGTTCCTTATTATATTCTGAGTATAAGCACTTTTTCAGAAGTAAGTATGGCAAATATCTTCTCCTACTCTATGGCTTGCATTTTAGTTCTCTTGTGCTATCTTTGATGAACAAAACTTCTTATTTTTAGTCTAATTTATCAATATTTTTTAATTTATGGTTTTAAGACTTTTTGTGTTCTTGGGGTGGCTCAATCAGTTAAGTATCCCACTCTTGTTTTTGGTTCAGGTCATGATCTCATGGTCTGTTGGAATGAGCCCCTAGTCTGGCTCCATGCTGGGCATGGAGTCTGCTTGGAATTCTCTCTTCTCTCTCTGCACCCCCCCC